GAGCCCCTCCTGGGCCGCGGACCGCAGCAAGGACGCGGGCGGCGCCCCGTCGGCGCCCGAGCCGCAGCCGGCCCCGGGAGAGCTGCAGCCGGGGGACGCGGCGAGCAAGAGGAAGAGATGAAGGCTGCAGGGGCCCGGCCGGACGCCCCGTCTCACCTTCTTTTACCTCAGGAGCCAGGGGGGCAGGCAGCAATACTTCGGCCACGACCTGGGCGTCGCGCAGGGGGCCAGCCAGCGCCGGGCCGCCGAGAGGGTGGGCTTGAGCAGGGTCTGGGTTAGCCGAGGCTCGGCCGTGGCCCCCGGCCGTGGCCCCCAGCCGTGGCCCTTCCCGTGCATATACATATACATATATATATGCATATATAGAGAGACAGACATATATATTTATTTTTTTTACTGAGAGCTTATGATTTCCAGAAAGTGCTAAAGTTGGGTGTGTGTGTGTGGGGGGGGTGCGGGCTGGTTCCCCCACAGGGCTTTCGCCTCATGCTTAGGACCCAGGCCAGACCAACCCCAGGGCAGATGGTCCAGCTGGGGTGTCAGCAGCTGAGCTCTTTGGTATCTCCCCTGGGCTGGGAGTACCTTGGGACATGCTCTCAGGCCTCTGAAGTTCCCGTGGCTGGGGAGACAGGCTCAGAAAAGGTGAAATTCAGGGTGCGGTTTTTTTTTTTTTTCCCAAAACGCCGCTAAGATCCTCCCCCCACGTTTGGGGGTGTCTGTCTTGTTCCTGACTGTCTAGTTGTTGTGAACAGTCTTTTGTAGATGCCCCAGAGCACACTCTTAGTCAACCAGTTAGATGTCTTTCTTTAGGAAAATCAGGGTTGAATAGTCGTAATTTCTTAGGGCAGGGGTGGGGGTGGAGGGCAGCTCCAAGGCTGGGCAGGGGGCTCAGCCAGTGGGCAGGGCATTTCCAGGGGTGGGGCGTCTGCCATGGCTTTGCCCCCTAGGGAGGCTGAGGGCGGGCAGGAGGCAGGAGGAGAGAGGAAGGGTAAAGGGTATGGAGCAGGGCATGCAGATGCTTGGAAGTCAAGAGCACCCGCCTGGTCCGTGCTGGCCAGGCTGCCCTGTGGGCGCCCTGGGCTAATGCAGTGGTGGTGGTTACTTACCCCCTTTATCCTCCAGGTGGGCTCTGAGCCATGGTCATTCCGGGAGGTCGTGCTCCCCGCTGGCCCCTGCGAAGCTCTGCCCCTTCCAGTGGAGTTCAGGGGAAAGCAGACTCAACAGATTCTAAGCAGGGGTGGGGGTACCTGCCTAGCCCTGGGACCAGCCTCGCTCCCCTGCCCCCACCGCTTTCCCAAGCTGCAGATCAGGTTTCACTCTAGCAGTGCTTCCCAAACGGGTTCACAGATGGGTATTTTTTCTTTGAATAGTTATGCATTTATTTCAGTATTTATTACAAAATAAACAGTACATTGAACCCGTGATTTCACAGACCTTGCTTAGGTCAAGGGGAAGTCTTCAAAAGTGAGCGGATTTCAGGGCACTCTAAAGAAGTGGTAGAGGCGGTCCGCAGGCAAGTGGAGTCCTGGGGTGGGGAATGCTGCAAGTTTGGGAGGCGCTACACTTTCAGCAATAACCGGGCCCTTCGCCTTTGTGAGATCTTCTCTGATGGCTTCAGTGGGGCCCTGCAGAGGGGGCCTCGTCCTCGTTCCCAAACCCTGACCTTAAAGAACTTGCCTTCAGGCTAGGCTGGTGAGTGGTCCTGGGGGGGTTGGCTGCTTGCATGGGCTCCGGGTACCTTCTGGGCGCTTGGGGCCTGGGCACTGCGGCGGAGGGAGGAGGCAGCGAGTGACTCAGGCTTTGTGGTCTGCAGAGCCCTGCCCTCCGGAGCTGGTGCGGGCAGTGGGGAAGGGTGAGCAGGCCCACTTCCCACACGAGGAAATTGAGGCCTGGAGAGGTTGAAGTGGCCAGCTCAGGATGCCTCAGTGCCCTGGAGTTCTGCAGGGGGCCAGAACCTGGGTATGTGGGGTATGAAAAAGTGCACCCAGTGGTCAGAAGGAGTGGGGTCAGAAGGCGAAAGCTGCGTGTGGGTCTGCTGGCACCATGGAGCTGGGCCAGCGTGGTGGCCAGACCTGTATCAGCCGTTGAGCCTCTGGAGCTTGGCTCTCCTCCCCTAGCAGTGCGGATGGTGGGCCGCTGTGCGGATACCAAGGTGATGCCCGAGCCCTGAGCTCCCTCCCGGGTTGGCAGCCGGGAGGGTTGTCAGAGCCCCTCTCTCAGGGAGCAGCTGGACCTGGGGTCCTGTCCTCTAATGCTCCTGGCGGCTCCTCAGCTGGGTCGGGTCCCAAGCTGCCTGCTCCTGCGAGCCTTGTGCTGGCTTCCCTTGCCGTGCTGTTTTGGGATGGGGGTGCTCATCTGGGGAAGAAGAGGGCAACGGTAGCCGGGCCTCACCCTCCCTCCCAGCACGGCCCTGGGCCCGAGCCGTCGGGGCTGGAGCGGAAGCTGCATGCACATTAGGTGTGCACGACAGCACGTTCCTGGAGGGACGTGTGTGCTGGAACCCGGAAGAGGGGCATGGGACTTGGAAAGACTGAGTAGAGGACAGATTGGGGTTCAAGGGGTTGGCCTCTGACACCTGTCAACAGTGTCCATTTTCTGGGCCTGGGTGTCCTCTTAATCTGCATGGCAGCCCCGAGCAGCGTGCAATGCTGTTCCAGGCACAGACCAGGGAAGTGACGTTCCGGTGTCACCAGGTGATAGGTGCCTGGGCAGGGAACATACCCTGGTGTGTCCCACATGAAGCCATCCCTTTATTCTCAACCTTGTAGCCCCAGAATGAGCAGACGCATGGGGAGGACGGTCTAGGCAAAGGGACTGGCCCCAGCAAAGCCGAGTAGGACAGAGCAGGGTGTGTCTAGAGGTGGGAACAGCTGAAGGTAGAGGGAAGCTTGCTCAGGGGTGGGAGGGGCTGTGGTCGTGGGAGAGTGGGCTTATTCCCGGGGGGCTGCAGATGCTGTTCCCAGGCACTGGGCTTTGTTTCTGGGAGCTACAGGAGTTAGGGGGTCAGGGAAGCCGTGGTCGGCTGGCTAGGACAAGCCAAAATGAATGAGGGTTGGCTGAATGGCCCCTCTGCCCTCCTGATCCTGTGACCCGTTCATTGCAAAAGCACAAACGTACCCTAACTCACACAGATGTGGCCCCGGGGAGAGTGGAGAACTCGGTGCGGGCCACCTCAATCCATCTGTTTGCAGCACTGTACGGAGTGGTGGTTGGTGGGCACCTCGGCGTCTGCACAGATGGACCCGAGACCTGATGGGGCCGTGGCCCACCCCGGCCAAACCCTCTTCCTGGCCCCTGCCCAGCCTTCTTTGCACCTGGCAGCTCCCTAAAGGATGAAGTGTGCACAGTACCAGCCTGTTGGCCTGTCTTCCTCCCAGATCCTTCCCCTGGGGCCTTTGTTTCTAGGGCCGCCTCCGGCCCTCTTTGCTGCTCTGTGTAAGGGCTTGGGGTCTTAGAAGCCGCTCTTTAGCCCAGATACACGTACTCTTTTTGTCTTTGTGCAATAATCGGTGTTCTTGGTGGAGACTGGGCTTGGCTAGGGCCTGGGAAGGAGGCAGAGGCTGCCGCCTCCAGGAAGTCCTCAGCCCAGCCCCACCGCTGTGACTATCGCACTCAGAGTGGCTGTACAGTTTCTGTGGTGTGAACGAACTTCCCTCCTAGTTCCTGACGGCGCTGGTCCCTGCTGGCCCAGATGGCCCGGGCATGGAGAAACCAAGTGGTAGCTGCCACCATGTGGTTTGGAATAAAAACAAAAACCCAGAAGCCTATTGCAGAAATTTTCCATGTGCCTGTACTGTTCTTTCTTTTGCAGGGTGGGTGCTGAGTGGGGGTTTCCTGGGATGGGTGGGTGAGAGGTTCTCCATCATGCTCAAGCTGTGGGGCTTAGGGTGTCTGGCACCTAGAAAAATACCCCATGGGAGGGTCTTCTCAGGGCTGAGGTCTGCTGGACTGGGGAAGAGGCAGAGCCTGGCTCTCACGCTCGGGTTTGGTAGCTAAGATGCTGGGCCTGTGTGGGAGGGTCACACAGGAGTAATAATCGACTCACTTTTGGCACTGCTAACAGAATTCATATTGTGGGCATTATTAGGATTCTCTTGGCTGCAAAGGACAAAAGCCCAACTTGAATGAGCTTAAGAATAAAAGAAAAAAAGAGCCAGAGAGAGAGACAGAGAGAGAGAAAGAAGGAAAAAAGAGAGGAGAGGAAGAAACAAGAAGGAAACAATTTAGTGGTTCAAGAGATGGTGTTGGTTTCAGGTGTAGTTGGATCAAGTGCTCCAACTATGTTACTAGGACACAGTCTCTCTTCACCTCTTGGATCTGCTTCCTTCTACATTTACTCCCCTCCTCTCCTAGTGGCCTCTGGCAGCCCAGGCTCAGGGCGTGTCTACCCATCCCCCGATGAATGAAAGCTTCCCTCCTTGACAGTCCGCCCAAGTCCATGGACTCTCATCAGTTGACTTGGGTATGTGCCGTGGAGTTGCCACATTCTGATCGGCCAGGCCTGAACTCTGGGACCCAAGGATGAGGGTGACGCACCTGCCTAAGAGCAGGAAAGGGACAAACTGCCCGAGGAATATTGCTGTGCGCTTGCTGGGAGGAGGGAATACACGGGGCCTGGGCTTTTGTCCCTGGGAAGGGCCGCTGTCAATCCTGCCTTCCTACGTGAGGCAAGAAGCCCAGAGAGGTCCAGATACTGGGCATCAAAAGGCCGTGAGAGCAGAACAGCCAAGCTGGTGGCTGGAGGGCCTGCCTATCCCCACCAGTCTCGTCTGAGACTCTCGTCACCTTTTCCCCCTTATGTGTCCTTTCTCTCCTCCTCAGGGGCATGGCTGGGCAGGGACATGGGGACCTCGGGATCAGGTATGAGCTCCAGTGCCGCACCTCCATCCCTGAGACCCCGCCCACTCTGAGCCAAGGCCACCCTTTGTCCTCTCACCCCTGTGCTCCCTGTCCTCGCCTAGTGATCCCTTTCTGGCGGCTGCCGCCACTCTTGGAGCTAATTGGGAAATCACCATCCAGGTTCCTCAGAGGGACGCGGACACTCCGCTCCAGGCGAGTGCCATCCTGCTCCGAGCCCTGGGCTTTCCTGCTCCGGGTGTCTCAGGGGGATGCCTTAGAGGCTTTTCTACCGGGGCGGGGGGGGGGCATCTGCCTCCCTGTAGACAAAGCAGTGGGGTGTCGGGAGAGAGGCTAGAGCTGGAGGCTCGTGCACGCCTAGCGTGTGCACCTGCTGCAGTGCCCGGATCCGTGACGGCAGGCCTGGCCCCAGCTCCTGGGCTGCCTGCCCTCATCCAGACGGGGATCGTACCCCCGTTTTCACATGAGAAAGCGGGGCAGGGCAGGCCCTCTACAGAGCAGGCCAGGGCCCGAGTCCAAGTGTGGCCCGGGCCTGTCTGAACCATGTGGCCCTGGGCCAGCCAGCTACCCACCTGAGCCTCTCATTCCTCACCTGTGACGCCTGGTTTCGCTGCCCAGCTGGGGATCTGAGCCCAAGAGCTCCCCGTGGAGCCCTGGCTCCTGGGGAGACCCCCTGGTTCCAGCCCCTCCTCTCCCAGCCCCTTGAGACAGAGCTGCTGGACTCCCCCACCTGGCACCTCAGACTCCACGTATCCCAAACCCTGGCTGCCAGCCAGGCCTGCCCTCCGCCGTCCTTTCCCAGGCTTTTCCCTCCCTCTGAGGACCACCCGTGTGCTGCCCACCCCACACCTCTACCCCCAGCCCAGGCCTCTCTCTCTGCCTGTCACCCTGCCTGGCTGCCTGCCAGAGGGAGGGCCCAGGTCTGGGTCAGGAGAGGCAGGTGTGTAGGGCCCCACTCAGCTGACAGACCAGAGGCCTCCAGCATGTCCTGGCTTCGTTCCCTCCACTTAATCCTTGTGAGGATGACAAGGTGACTAACAGCAGCTCGTGGGTCCTGAGCCAGCTGGGCGCTGGGGCCACGGACAAGATCCCAGTGTGGCCCTGCCTCGGTCGTTCCTTCCACATGGGCCCTGCCCACGGTGCCCAGACCCCACTGTTGGGGGACACAGGCCTCCTGGTGGTTGCCCCTTGGCTGAGTGAGCATCCGCTTTACTCTCTCTGTCCCAACTCTGTCTAAACACTGCCTTGGCCCTGAACGCCTGAGCCTCTACCCAGGGCTCTGTAGGACCAGGCCCACCCACTAGCCTCACCTGTTTCCTTTCTCCCCTTCCCCTGGCTAACTCTCACTTACCCCTTCAGGCCTCATCTCAAATGTCACTTCTTCCAGGAAGCCTCCCCTGCTGCTCTATGGCTTTGTCTGTTTCCTGACTGAGTCCCAGCCACAAGGTAGTGACCACAGTCCCTCCTCCCAGCCCAGAGCTTGGTGCCAGGCTGAGCCTCAGCAAATGTCAGCTACATGCTTATGTTCTGGGAGCAGAAGAGATTTTGAAAACCAGCTAAACCCTTCCTTCATTCTCTACCAAGTGAGGCGCAGAGAGACAGAATGGTATGCTCTGGGTCACACAGGGAGGCGGTGCCAGGGGTGACCGTCACCTGTATGACCCCGGCTCCCTCCAGAGCTGCTGGGGCCCTGGGGAGCCAAGCGCTGCTTTGTTTTCCTCTCCCCTACCCGTTAGTAATGGAATTAAAAGCAAGTTGCTGCCAAGGAGAGAGAATGACTTAAAAACAACAACAACCCAAGAACACTTTAAGGGAATGAAAAACTTCAGCCATCAGCACTTTTTACTTCGACGTGAATTCATGAATTTTAACCAATAGGCACTGGCACGTTAGGTATTAATGTGTGTACCATTATGCAAAACCACTCTCACGGCTGTGATGAAAATTAGATTCTGACTCGGTGGTGGTGTTCCAGGAGGGAGGCCTCCTCTGGTTTCCAGCGCTGTGACCTCGGATTGCCGTTGCCATGGGAACGTGGCTGCCTCCGGACTGTGTGGACAGGAGGCTGGTCTTGTGCGGAAGGGCGGCCGACGAGGCTGTTTCCTGGGCAGAGGCAGCCCTGAGCCTCAGAGGACAGTGGCCAAGTCGCCGACAGTGGGCAAGCCTATGAGAGCGGGGAAGGGACCTGCCCGGGCGGCGGGCGGTAGAGGTGGGCCACACCCCACCCACACGCCTGCCCCGGTCGCCCTGGAAGGCTGCTCATGGTTTCCCTGCCAGGTCCCCCCTGGTCTCTGCGCCAGGAAACGCCCTCTG